TGAGCTTTTTGCTTCCCAGGATTTGTTCATCAAACAACTCTCTCTCTCTGGAAAGAAAAACATAGAAGGTTTGAAGTTAAAACAGGATATTATTGTCCAGATTACATCACCTGGACAAATTAAATTCACAGGGTTGGAGCAGCTCAGCTGGGACATTTTCCACATTTTGTCTCTCAAAGGAGGAGGATGCTGAGCTCTCATGCCCTCACCTGAAACCTTTTCTGCATCCAACAACAAATGAGTAAAAAACCCTTGGAAAATCCTAAAAAAATCTACCTTTTGCTCACAGGTGGTCCTTTAATGTACTTCTCTTCTGCCTTCTCATAATCAATGTCATCCACAGCAGCAATGGCACAGATGATGGCCTAGAAAAGCATTAAATAACTAATAATCAATAAGCAAAACCTAAACCATAGCCAGGGATTTGAAACTGCCTCAGCTGAGCATGTTTTGAAAAAAAGGTTCCCCAATAACTTATAAAATTTGGATGGAACTGCTCACTGAACATCTGAAATTCCTAAATACAAAATATGAAATTGTTCTGTATCATCCCCTGGGGGGTATTTTTATCCTCAGATTAAAATATTCTTCACAGTAATTTTGTTTCTACACGAGTTAATGTTCCCCTGGGAAAATTCCTGGGAAGAACACAAGGTATCCACAACAACTGTAACAACAGCCAACATACCACCCCCCACCTCGACACACACAAAGGACCAAGAAAACCCTGAGAAGTTGCCAAATTAAAATAAAAACCCCAAAACCAAGCTTTGAAGCATTTCAGAAGTAATTAAAATACATCAGAAAACTATCAGTCTGCTTTTAAAAACAACAATCTACCTGAAGCTTCTCCTTTCTGTGCTTAAAAAGCAACATTTGAGTGACTCAGGCTGTAGGCAGGGGTGAATATTCCTGCCTAGCTCAGTTCTGGGAACTCTCTCCATGTCATTCCACAAGAACCACGTCACACAAAGGAAGAAATAATTGGAATTAGTGTCATTTACCACTCTGCAGTTCATTCTTCCCCCTCCCTCACCTCAGGTAAAAGCACATCTGAGATGAATCTGATGCCATCCCCCAGGATCTGGTGCAGGTTCTTGGTGTCCATCTCC